GCCGCAGGAGCCCAGTGCGACTCCGACTCTGACCTCGACCTTGGTGTGAGCGCTGGGGGAATCACGGGGAGGGGCCGGGCCCCGCGCCTTGGGGCGGACGCGCAACTAGCCGGGGCGCCTGGTGACAGTGCCAGGCCGCCAGCGCCTCGCCTGGCCGCTGTGGAGACGGCAGCTAGACAGCAGGGAGCCCCCTAGGCCTGGTGCCGAGAGCTAGGGGTCTCCCCGGGAAAGAAGGTTGCGCTATTTGTTGCCCAGACCCAGGAAATCCCGTGTCCGGCCTGCAGGGCTTTGGCGCCGCGCCCTCTCTGCAGTCCATTCGATCCCCTCGATTTCCTCGCGGGGTTCGCGGCTCCGCGGGCTGCGGGCGCGGCTCGGGGTCCGCACACGGACTGGCACAGATCAGCTCTGTGCGCCCCGCGCGCTATGCTTGCGTCCCGGGCTCAGCGTGAGTCTCTAGCTCCCCCCGCCGCCGCTTCTAGGCGCGCAGAATCTGCGCTGCGAAGTCCCAGGGTCACAATTGTGGTAAAGTGGGAGGGCGGATGAGGGGCCGGGGTCGCGGACATCCGCAGCGGCTGACTCGGCCTCTGGACCTCTGCTCTCTCGAGCAGGCGCCGCCGAGTGGGAGCGGCCACAGCGTGGCCCGTGCCCTCCCGGGATCCCCAGCACACCCTTGCATGCTCTGACTTTTTGCCTCTCTGTTCTATGCAGGAAAAACTGTGGAAATACACCCAGATCCAAACGCCCCTGGCCCGCAGTCACCCTACCCCAGGAGAAGCAGCTGAGTTACCCGACATGGTGGTCAGCAAAAGCTGGGTCCGTGACTGGATGCTGCAGCTGCAGGGACTCAGCGCCTAGGAGGGCTCCTGTGCAAGGAGAGAAGCAGAGATGCAACATTTTTAAAGTTTCACAAAGCATCCAGCTGCATCCAGGTTCCTGGAGCAGGAGACAAACAGAATTAATGTTTTATACCTTCGGGTATAGGTTTGAGTTTTTTCCCCCTCATGCCAAGTATTTAAAACCTCTAGAAACCCATGATTTGACAATCAATGATTGCGCGGTACTTTCAATTTGAATATTCAAAGGCTTAACAAAATGGACTATCTTCTGCAGAAATCCTGCACACAGGCACCCCACAGAGAGTCCAGAGAAACAGGGAGTGAGACCCCTTTGGGTCCTGACCCTTGCTTTTATTCGATTTTGAGCTTTTTGCCCTCCTTCCCACAGACAGAGCAGGAGTGCTCAAAGATGCTCTGTATTTCTGCCTCAGAGGCAGCTGCAGGAGTCCTGAGTGACTGAGGCTGCCCTTCATGACCACCTAGGCCAGGCTGACCAGCAAGATTGAGTCCCACATCCCCAATCTCTATTTTAAGGGGAAAATCTCAAGTTTGGGGGAGTGAACATGGCAGCCAGTAGGCACAGCGTAGCAAGAAGTCACTCTGGGTCCACGTTGCAGCTGGAGGCCCAGCAGAGGCCTTAGCTCTGCACCTCATCTCCTTCTGGCCTCACCTGGCCACGTGCAGGCTTCCCTCCCCTTTCGTCCCTCTCTGTCTGGGCCCCAAACACTGGGGTTGCAACACAGACTGCCTGCCCATTAAAACCTTTTACTCCTCCCCAAGGAGCTGGGGATGCTCGGGGGCCTCACAGTCTGGAGATTTTCTTAGGCTGATGGTTTCTTCACTGTGAAGTTCCCTCTTTTCTATTTTTTCTCCCTAGAGCCATCCTGCAGGTTTGCTGCAGGAGCTTGTGTTGAGAATTGATAATGAGCATGGCTCCTGCTCATTTTAGCTGAAAGGACACGGATGTGTTTAAGCCTTCACACTTTGGGGTGAGAGGTGGGAGGGATTTGTGAGCCCCTCACAAATGACTGTGTACTGTGTTAGGTCATCTCCAAGCACTTGCTGTGCCTCTTCTGTGTGATTTGGAAGCTTGAGAAGACAGGAGCTGTCCAGAGAGGGAGAGAGTACCAGGCCAAACCCTGTCCTAGTACCCAGAAGGAAGAAAGCAGCACTAGAAGGTAGAGGCAGGCTGGGATTCCCTTTACAAATAAGCCAGGACATTCCCATGAAGCAAGGGCAGGAGATAGTTATAGGTCTCATCTCCTGTTCCTTGAGTTCTCTGAAATGCATAAGTGAAGTTGAGCCCAATAGGCCACAGAAAGTTATCTGAATGCCCTCAAATGTGTCCAATGCAGGGTAGAGCACATGGTGATGGGGGAACGGGGCTCTCTGAGAGTGACAAGACAGCAGAATCTGTGATGGGTAGGAGTTGCTTGGCAGCTGAAGCCTTGTCTCTGGGAGAGGGGATCAGAGCCAGTAACACCTGAGCTGGCACCTGCCAGTGGAGTGTACTTGTCTCCAGCCCAGCTGGAATCTGTCAGTTCCTGGAACCTCTCTCTCCAAAAGCTCCTGACCCTGTGTCCTGAGTTTTCCCTGATGGAAGTCAGGCTAAGGACCTGATTCATGAGAAGGGGAAGGACACTGGAATTCAGAGGGCCCCTCTTTTCTTTCTCCCTGCCCTGCCCGTGAGTGCTCTTTCCGAAGGAACAGTAAACAAAATAGTGTGGAATTAGGGATGGTCTCTCATCCTCATAGCTTTTTCCATTACTTCTTTTCTCTTTTGTCCTCCTTTTGTTTTACACTTAGTTTTTGGTTTGCTTTTTAAAATCTTCCTCTTTGCCCTTTGGAATTTTTTGTTTATTATTTTTTTTCCCCCAAGTTTCTTTTTCTTTGTTTCTCCTCCTGTCACTGCTTTCTCCCATTGCTTACTTGCATTGCCGTTTTTCTCCCTGCCTCCCTGCGTGTGTTTGCTTCCCCCTGTTCTGGGTGGATGCTGTCTCACTTTTACAGACTCAGTCTCCTTCCTAAACTTGCCTTTCACATGGAGATGGACAGGGATGGCAGGAGGCCCTAGAGTTCTGTTGGCAATGGCACTTGGCAATGGCACTTGGCAATGAAGTTGATGCTGATGATTGGCTGCCCTGTAGAGAAAGCAGGAGAAGCTAGGAGAATTGAACTCCTTTGAAGTCCCTGGGGCCTATAGGGACAGTAAAGAATTCTTTGCTCCTTCCTCCAGAATCCTCTGCTTGAACCATGGCAGTAGTTCTGGGGGCTTGCGTGTTGGGCCATGCCGCTGGGATGGATGTTCCAGAGCTGTTGCTGGCCAGCAACTTTAGACAACTGGGTTTTCCTCAGTTCCTGTTTTGAGGAAAAAGTCCCCCATTTTTTAGCCCAGCATTGAGAAGTTTGGGTTTCTGCTGTTTCTGTAACTGTAAGACCCCAGCACAGGTATTCAGGAACTGAACACTGTGAAATGCATAAGTGAAGTTGAGCCCAATAGGCCACAGAAAATGCATCTTGGGAATCCTCTTTACTGATCTGCATGTGTCATGAGGCCTGGAACAGCCTGGTCTGCCTTGAGACCCCACAGAGTTTGATGTTCCTCACAGGAGACTTTTTAAAGCTGTCATTTATTGACTGTTGATTGGATGCCAGGTAGAGGTACTGTACTGTATAGCCTCCCCATTTCACAGATGAGAGAACAAGCCCACAGGGTCAAGCAGCACACTTCAAGATTACTGAATGTATAAATGGCAGGATTGGGAATCAAACTAAGTCTGATGCAAAAGCCCTTACTCTTAACTATTGTTATTGTTTTCCTGATTATTTATAGCAGGACCTTTCAAACTTTTTCAACTTCAACCCACGACAATTCATTTTACACGTTCACATACTGTAACAACATCTATATCTTTATAAGACAAACTTTTCGTGAAACAGTATACATTTATGTATGTGAGGCACTGAAATTTTCTATCCTATTCCATGTTTTCCATTTCATTCTATTTATGAAAAATCTATGTTGGTTGGGAATCATTAAGATAATTTAATGGCTCATGAATACATTGTTACTAATTGGAAAAATACTGTCTATAAGACATGCAAACACGTGTGTCTGCTGTGCACATGGAACTGTTTTGGTGTGCTGTTTCACTGTCAGAGTGTGTGAGGAGACTAAGGCATGGCTAATACTGACGTGACAGTATTTTGTAAACACTGGGCACACCAGAACCGCAGAAGAAAAAGCTGGCTAGAAGAGAGGATGAACTGTTAATTGTGCTGATTAATTTGTGCTTCTCAGACTGGGAACTCTTCTCTCCTGCTGGGGGTGTTGTCACCTCTAGGGTATCTTGATAATCATTTTGAGGTCTTAATACAAGGCTGAAAAATGTTGTGGCATTTCAACAGGCTTTAATAGGCCGACTTGCTTAATAATATAGGGTCCTGATGTTTGGATGTTGGCAGGGATCTATGAGGTGCTGAGAGAGACTTAGTCTTTTTCTAACTTTCCTGCCGATGGTCTTCTAGCCTCAGGCTCCCTCCCTTGCTCCTCTGGGCCTATAGGTGATGTGTGTTGAGGAAATGGAAGCTCACTATGCATCACGCAGCCTGTTCCACTATTGGACTAATTTAAATATAATGATCATTGATTGAGCCAAAAGCCAATTAGGTATTAATTGAGCAACAACTAGGTACCAGGTAGGGGATCAAGTATTAGAAATACAAAGATAAATAAGTCCTGCTTTCTGTCATCAACTGCTCTGTGAGAAACATGAATAACTATTTCTCACTTTCATAGCACGACTTCTCCACATGGGTTCATTTGTTTGTTCGCTCATTCGTTTGTTCATTCATTCATTTGTTCATTCATTCAACAAGCATATGCTGATTGTCTACTCTGTCTAGGCCCAGTGCTAACTCTGAAGAAGTTATTGTGCCCATATCCCAAGCCTTTTCTTTTTGAGGCCCCCCCATTCATAATTTCTTTAGTTCTTCATATATTATAGTTTTTCAAGTCTCTGAGCCACTGAGCTCAGAAACCCTTTAGTTTGTCATTGACCTTCTTAAAGTCACTCAGCACCCAGAAAATAGGAATAGAATACATTTCTTTTTAAAGTTTTAAATGGAATATTTTACTTTTTTTACACAAATTTTAATTTATTATTAGTTTCAAGTATACGGTACATTGGTTAGACATTTATATAGTTTATAAAATGATCTCCTTAATTGCTCTTTCTCTCCACTGGCTCTTCACTTAGCCATTACATTATTAAACTGAATATTTTAAATGAATTTTTGGAGCAGGCTTTTGTATGAAAACGACACTGTATAGTGTTACATTTTGCCCCTAAAGTAGAAGATTTTATTGAACTTAGACATATGGCCATGAAAAGACTTTCAGCAGAAGGAAAAGGGGTATTTTTTTCTTCCAAATTTGACGATAGCTCTAAACTCTATTAATGCAAAATTCTTTTGTCACTTCGACTTTAGGACACTGTTACCAAACCTTGTGGGAAATATCAAGTTCCAAAAACATGGCGGAAACAAGTAGTTACTGGGCCCAGAGTGAATGTATGGTTCATATAAAAATGACCAGGAAGACTATTAGGTGTAGGTTATTAATGATTTGTGGTAAGTCATTCTCTTCCCATAAATCACATTCAGAGTTTTAACTTTTCCTTAGGAAGCGTCCACGGGGAATGAACATTTGGTAATTTATCATTTAAAGAAGATAAATACCACCAGACACTGCTCGAAATGTTTATTTTTTACTTAAAACATTTTTATAATGTAATATATGTCATACAAATACACATCTGAAGATTACCATGCTAAAAGCCTGTGAATATCCTACCAAAGTTAAGAAATTACACAGTTGAATGATCTTTCATTTTTGACCGAATGAATTTATTAAGCATTACACTTTTGGATTATTCTACTTAAGATATTTAGTTAGGGAGAAGCTTAGTAGGGACTATTATCAATTTTCCTAATGCAAAAAAGCTAATTCTTAGATATTATTTGTTTCGTCTATATATTTTTTCCTTTTGGAACTTGTAAAATTTTTTACTGTTCTCTCTCTTGGCTTGTAATGTATTGTCAATGATATTGCATAAAAAATCCACACATCTTATTTATCCACAGTTATGATTAGAGGACACTTTTATATAAAAGATGAAAGAAAACATGGTGTCATCATTTGCAGATAATTATAGAAGATTTTCTCACTATTTAGCCTGATCTTTGGGGATTCTAGTTTCTGATCTATTTTTCATATTTGTTTTGATCACAATAGAGATAATATCAAACATTGGATGAATTTTATTTATAAGACTTCTTAACATTATAGTATGTATAGATACTAACTGAATATATAAACATTTTTGGTGCTACTTCAAAGGTTCAGTAATTTTCCTTCTTAGAGACATTTAAAAATACTAAATTAATCATTTAAAATATTACCACCAAAGCCTAATATCCACTACTGTCAGCTTTTGCAGAGCATATGGCTAATGTTAAATACTAAATATGATGAAAGTTTTCTTATATCTCGGTCTCAGAGAGTTGTCACCCACAGAATTGGGGTCCGGTTATTCATCTTTGTGGCATAATTTTAGTTCAATTTAACAAAGATTTTGCTGAGCACTCACAACATGCCAGATGCAGGAGATACATTGCTGAGCCATTCACGAGTCCTCCCTTTGATGAGTCTAGTTAGAGAGTCACTCTTTATCTAGAGTGTATGGTTTTGCACTTAAGCTCTCTAGAGTCAATAATCATTGAATATGGTGTATAAGAGGAACAGTGTCTTGTTGTTTTGATTAGAGAGGATGCTTGAGACAGAACCCAATGATTGAACCTAAAGAAAGAATATAATTTTGGTGTGTGATTGGCAGAATCACTGTAATGTAAAGTGACTTAAACCTTGGACATTAATTGTTATTGCAGTTCTTTTTTTAAATTTATTTGTTAAAGAAAGTATAGTTGGCATGCCATATTAGTGTCAGGTGTGCACTATATATCTTAAGACGTTATCACCACAATAAGTTTAGTAACCATCTGTCACCATGCAAAGTTATTACAATATTAATAGTTGTTTTCGCTAGGCTATACATCACATCCTGGTGGCTTATTTGTTTTATAACTGGAACTTTGTACCTATTATTCTTTTTAATCTTTTTCCTTCATCTCCCCACCTACCTCCCCTCTGGCAACCATTAGTTTGTTGCCTGTATCTATGAGTCTGTTTCTATTTTATTTCAATTCTTTAAATATAACTGGTGCTTTGCTTTTTATAAATGTATTATTTAGATTTACATTTTGAATAGTGAATCACAAAGATACTAGTAATACTTTTGTATATATGAATATATGTATATATGTATGTAAATATATATTTTATTCTTGGGGTTAGTAAATCTTTTCCTTTTTGTGGAATTTCTTATAGTGTACTGTCGCACTAGAATACTTCTTCCCTTACCACAATAGTACCACCATATTATATTATTAACTGAGCTGTGGCAAGTCATAATGCTCACTTAGGAGCATTTATTAAATAAATGAGGTAAAGATGTGGTTTTCTCCTCACATTTTTAGAATTTGTATAATAACATTGTAAGAGACACCCAAATACTTTCAACTGCTGCTGTGATGTCTGTTTCCAGTGACTTATGGAAGAACTATCTATATTGCAGCTTTTGCATGGGAAAATTTTGCTTTCAACTTCTTTTTGACATCACCATCTAGTCAGCCTTCTTAAATAGCTAGCACTTGACATCAGCATCTCTGCTTACTTTAAACCTTAAAGGACTTGAAAGAGATGACATTTTGAACCCAAGCTTTCTAATTTTCTCTGGCTTCCCCAGGAAAGCTGTGAGTCAGAGCACAGCAGGTTGAATGAAGGAGAAAAGATGTATTTAGTCCCCACCGCATGAAGTTAGAAATAGTACTCGAATGGGAAATGGGATAGCTTGGTTTCACTTTTTAGCAAAGTCTTATAAATTCCCTGAACAATAAACCGGAACCAAATGGAAATATATGTAAGATAGAAACACGTTGTCAAGCCAAATAGAATTCTTAAAAATCATTTACCGTGTGGAATTATTAGCACCATTCCCCACTCTATCTCCTTTAGAACAGATAACTTAAAAGGATTCTAGACACTGTATGGGCTTGTGTATGTCTCTCTCTCTCTCTTTTTTTTTTTTTCCATAAATTAATTCTGTCAAACACTGTGGAAGGGTTTGGATGCTTTAAGAATAATGTAGACACCACAGATTGCTGAGCTGTATTTATCTGAGAGCCAATGCATCCTCAGGTTGTAAAGATTTGAACATAATCTGTGAGAATGTAACAGTGTACTAGGAGAAATGAGCATGACTAACATTTGGCGCTACAATCAAACAAAAGTTAAAGTGATGGGAACATATGTTTTACACAGCCATTATTGTGTGTGTGTTGCTTTGTAACAAGTAGTAAGCAGTAGATGACTGTAATTATTATAAATTTCATACAATCAATCTAGAAAAATGACTTTGACACATTCGTGAAGATCCCTAAATTTATAGAGAGGGCCAGACCTCTTCTTTCTGATGCAGAGGACTGCTGTCCAGGGATGAGTGACACTAGATGACAGATGGCTTTGCCAAGGATACTGGGAACCAGGACCGAGGTCTCAGGCTTCAGTGGATTTAAGAAAGAGCAGTATCTTTTGGACAGTAGAAGTTGCCCCCAATCTATTGAAGAGCAAATATTGAACAAAGTAAAGATCAGGCTGTGAAAAGGAGTGGCAGGAGGGAAGGAGTAGGGCAGGGGACCCAGGAGAGTGCTGCCCAGCCACAGAGGACCATCAGTGCTCCTAGATCTGCACTTAGAGGGATGCTCTCCCAGGAGGGAGCCGAGAAGCGTGAGGTCAAGGAAGGTGCCCTGTCCCAGGGCACCTTCTTTGAGCGCTCCACCTATTAGGAGTGCGTTTGCTTAATCAGGAAATACCTTTAAAGGCCTGGAGAAGGAGTAATATCAATTATTCACTTCTAAGTGTAAATTAATGTCTTTATTTGATTTTATTTGATTTTCTGGACTCCTACCTAGCTGAGGTAGAGCGTGGAACACTGTCACAGAGGATATGATGGCAACTCTTTAGGTGCTTTGGGCAACCAGGTAGAAAATGAAAGCATCGGGCCCCCACGAGATAGAGGGAAGAGGCATTGTATCAGGAGGGGCCTGAGGGGTCAGAAAAAGGTGTTAAGAGAATAAAAAACAGTGGCAGGAAGATAAGAGGAAGAGTGTGGATATAACCTGTGGGCCTTGACTCATGTATTGCAATTGCGTGCAAGGCATTTCGATGGCCTTGGCCTGCAGACACACACACTGCTTGGTGGGAATTACTTTTGGAACTTAATTGGCAAGGAAATCCACATCAATCAAACTTACATGAGACAGATGAATGTTTCAGATGTCAGTTTCTTCATTTATACATAGCAAGGGCTGTACGATTCTGACCACCAAAAGGTCTTCCTTTAAATGGAGATGTATGTAATGCTACTTGCCTACACCTGACGATATGTCTTTCTTCAAAGTTTCTTTGCTCCTTGGTGTTTTGTGGTCCGTTGTTTCTTGCCAACAGCTCAGTCCTGCTCTCTGTATTTTCTTTACAATGCTTTCATTTTTATTTCATCACAAATGCCTATTTTACTAACCACTCTGATAACTGGAGGTTTATTCCATCAGAGAGACAATGTCTAGCTTAATTGCGGCCACCACTGATCAAAGTAAGCGTTGGCCTTTATTGTTTTTTTGGATTAGATAATTTTTGGACATCTTGGACTTTAGGGCAGAGTCAAAACCGTATCTATGAAGCCATAGTCTCCTGACCTCATCCTATTTTAATAATAATAAAGCATTTATATATGGTGACATATTTGTTGCTGGGCCTTTACAAGCCACTTTAAGGAAAGAAATGTATATAATGCTTCATACTTTAAAGTCACATGGTATAAAATGAGGTTCGTTTTATATGCCCTAATCTATATTATACCCTATGCATTCTCTTTATTAAAGAACACACGTAGTTCATAACTAAGAAAAATTGAACAGAAAAATTAGTATGTTTTATGATCTGCAAAAACTTTTCAATGAGATTTAAGAAAAAGTATCAGAGCTAAAAATGTTACTTTAAAGATAACAGAAGATTCAGAATATAACGGGTTACTAAAGTTCCTAAAAGACCTAATTGTCAGGTTGTCTTGTTAAAATATGGTGCCTGATAAATGGAATTAACTTTGCATTGTCTTTCATGGGGTTATGGTTGGGAGGATTACAAATAAATGCCATCATCCATTAACAAAGGGTGGCATGATGGCTTATCTTGAAAATCCAGTTCTGAGTGAGCTGCTACACCAAAAAACAATCTGTGGAATACAGAACTCAAGTTAAAGAAAAGCAAAGAAGTTCTTTGGTACACTCCTCAGTAAGCTCTGCGGAACTCGTATGACCCCCATGCCATGCTCCCATCTTCTTTGGTCCACAGAGAAGGGTCTTGAAGGGTAGAGGTGTCTGCTCCCTCATCTGGGGAAAGGGGCACCACCTTGGGGGGTGGGTCGTTGGACATTGTTGTGAAAGGGGTGAAGGGGTAAGGGGGAGGGGTGGGGTACCCTGGTGTGTGGTACAGATCTTCCAGTGCATGTAGCGAGTAGGACTGGGCCCCAGCTAAGGGAGCCCCCCAGCTCGAGCTCCTGTGCTGGGGGGTGCTTCCCACCTCCAGCTGGGAGAGGCAACTTGTGCTGGGTGGCAAGTTCTGCAAGGCGTCAGTGGGCACGGGGTCCAGCTGGCTGAGAGCATCTGGCACTGTTTGCTCCCATGAGTCCCTCTGAGGAAAATGAAAAGGTCACTGGGGTTAGTCTTTAGGTGATACTCTGATGTGGACAGATTTCCTCCCCACCCTGAGGTGCCGCTGGACCATGGCCTCCGAGGAGGACTTGGTGTCCACGCTCTGCTATCTGAAGCCTCCTCACCAGGCAGCTTTTCCCTCTGGTGACTGACACCAGCAGTGAAAGTTTTAGTTCTCTTCTTACTCTAGAATTAAATTCCCTGTATGTATTAAGATTCCTTTCCCCAGGAAACAACATTAAATGAGCGAAATGTGAGAATAATAAAATGAATACTTATACAGCATTTTGACATTTGCAATGTGCTATTGTCTTGGATTCTTGTCAGTGTTCTAGAATGCCCTTTCCACAGTGGGGAAATCAGGCGGGCTGCTCCTGGAAGGAGTGGGTCTCTAAGCCACCTAGTGGGCTTTTGGGTGGGCTGGGAAGGCCGCGGTGCCCTCAGTCAGCAAAGAGGTAGGAACCTCTTTGGAGCGGGAAATATTCTGGATTTAACTCAAGGCTGTGCCACTGTCTACCTTCCTGAGCACCTCACTTTGTTTATCCTTAAAATGGGGCTTTAATAACTAGATCCTGAGATGTTGCAAGTATTAAATGGACAAAGGCACATAAAAGTTTCTGGTTGGAGAAGGCACTCAATAATGTCAACCCTCACCTCACCTCCTTGTCTAAAATCCCAGTTTTAGAGATTCATTCTTTTGCGATTGAAGGCTTTACGGTTTGGTATAAGAAGGGAGTTAGTGTTCTTCCGGTTTTTAAGGACTCATTTCTTTAGAAGGACTGAGAGAGAACAAGTTCTACAGAGTGAAAATGCTGTGGAGAGGGGATGCAGGGGACTGGGAGGAAAGAGCAGCCCGGAGGTACCCTCCCGGGACATTTTGGCCTAGCCTTGTCTCTTCCCTTATGCGCTGTAGGAATGATGGGGAACATCTGGCATAACCAGTTGAGTATTAACAAAATGGGGATATAAGTTCTGCCATATCCCTAGATAGACTCTCTTGCCGTCGTGGGTGGCACTGATCTTTGAGGAAAACTCCTTAGGAGTGTATCCTGGCAGATCGGTCTGTCCTAGCATCTCTGAGGACAGCTGCAGAGCAGCCTCACCGGTCTCCAGGGCATGCCAGATTTGGCTTCAGCCTGATTGCCAAGCCCATGGGCTGACCTTACTCCCTAACCGTGAAACATCTGCATACTCACCAGCACGAAGTGAGTGGGGTCGCTGGAGAAGGGCGGCGGCAGGAGCGGCGGCAGGGGCGAGGCGCTAAACAGAGAGCCTGTGTTGGGGGTCAGGGCTGGGGAGCGGTGGTCCCCATAGGGCTCCGGGAAGTAGGAGTCCAGGAGGGCCGGGTGGCTCTGCACTGCGGAGGACTCACAGGGAAAGGGCTTCGACACGCTGGAGGTGCAGGTGTCGTTTGCAAATTTAGTGTTGTGGAAGTCGGAGTCAGATAGGAAGGATCTTCGGACACCATAGTAACCTGACATGACTGGTGAACCTGTTGCCAAATGAAAACAAACGGGCAAATTTTCCTCTTGGGAAAGTCAGGACATCTCTATTGAAATTGAGTCTCTCCACTGTGAAATGGTGTTAGTAACATATACCTGACACCAAGGGTAACATTTAAATAGATAAATGTCTTGAAGGTGTTAAATATTGCTGGATTACCTCTTTCAACCCGTCCAATGCAAAGAACTCATATGTTTAAAGTTCACTCTGCCTTTGGAGATGAGTTCACTTTAGATGATGCAATAACTTTTCCATCATTCACTCACTCAGCATACATTTATTGTGTACCTTCTATGTGCCAGGCACCGTGCTACGGAAGAGTTGGACTTAAAGAGATAAGAATAAGAATCCCTTGGTTTTTACATTGTATCAGGCAAAGCATCTTTTCCACAGCTTCTGAACTCTGTCCTCTGTCCATTAGTTAACACAAGGCTGCTTCTGGGCATGGTTTCTGAGATTTAGTATCTCTACATAAGGCGATACTATGATTCTACCCCAAATCCTAGGCAGGTTGTCTTCTTCCAATTCTTTGTATACTGACTGACTTTTAACACCACATCTCTCACCTAGCAGGCATGGCTTGCTTGCTTGCTTTGGGATGATAGGGCTTCTGTGCAGCCAAGTTAGAAGACCTACCTCAAAAAAAA